CCCTTCCTCGATGCATATAATATGAATGGTAAACCATACCAGGGGCCAGAATAAACAAACTTTGATTAGACACATCTATCGTTAATTGGCGAAGAAATGCACACGTAAAGACGTTTGTACAGTGTTAAGTTATTGTCTTTTGACCCATGAACCTTTAAAAACTTCTGCTTAAATGTCTGCTTCATGCTGAATTCAAAGGAATATATTTGAGGACAAACTTAAATGTCAGTCCAATTTGGCCGGCAAACGAAGCCCTAAATTCCTCGCAAAGGTTTCTTTTCTTATCTTCGACTGAACTTAAAATCTTGGATCGGAAGCGGCAAAAGTCTCAAAGCTGATTTTAGATTCGTGCTTTATACATGTTGGGATTTATGTTCTCGTGAGTTTAGTTTGTTGGCGTTGGTAGTCTGTAAACTGAATTACCCGAAAATAATTGCCACAATGTGAGTTAGTATACCGATGAACTATTGAGAGGGGCAGTTTGGAGGTGCACGCTATAAGCCTGCAAAAGATCAACCCCTGCTTGCTGGAACAAAGATTCGATGGATTGTGCAGTACATTCGGGATGTGGTGGATTGCGCCATCTAAACGTTCAGCACTCACTCATCTCTCTGATTGCTTCTTCAAAAGCACCGCGCACTTGCGCAACACACACGCATCCACATACATGCTCAGTCACACACACACATACGCATATGCAGTACAGCTGGATGACCTTCTCAATTCCAAAAATATTCATGTGCTTGCACTTGCCCTTTTTGCACTTCTCAGGTACAAAAACATATAGAATAAGCTACAGAAATGCAATACGAGTTTAAAATTAAGCTAAAAGAAATGCAAGCTATATGTACATGCACAGTTTAAGCCCATTTGAATGCAACCATTGCAACTTATGAGCAACCATTCGTCCAAACTACGCACACCATACAAACACAGACACAAGTATGCAAACATATAAACACGCATGCACAAATTCAGATGTGTATACACATACATGCCCATTGACGCACAAACTCAAATATCCTAGCTTGTACGTCAATATGCATGAAATATTTGTATATATAAACTTTACATGCAGTTATACTTCATCAATTTTTGCATTGATTTACATGTGTTGCAGCTTTTACACTTACGCAGAATGTTTAAGATGTGTAAGGATAATTTTTTCCTTTTTGAAATGCCACAGAGAAAAAGAAAAAACACCGGGCAAATGCAAATCCATCATCTGTAGAAAATATTTGTCCTTTTCTAATGAATATACAAAGAACTAGGAAGTCAGTACAACAAAAAGGTCAGCAGTTTTTTTCCCAAAACCATCTTTCATTTGTCCTCCTAATCATAAAGAACACTAGGAAACGGAAGTTTTGGAATTGATGCACTCAAGAATACACCTTCGCCTAGCAATTAGGCGAAAATTGGTGCTTTTCATTTAAGTTTGTGGATATAGAAAGATTTGACATAGGTGTGTTACATTAGAAAAGCGGGAATAAGGTTGTATGGTAATGTGACTTGTTATGATGTAGTGTGTGATGCTACAAAGAAAAAAGAAAATAAGAAAGATGAAGGATTTAATGAAATTGTCGGGATTTAATCTAGAACTTAAAAAATTAAATCGTTAATTAAAGAAATAAATTAAAAAATAAACTAAAGATAGAACTACTCGGTGAATTAAAAAATCAGTTAAATCTTTGAATCAATAAATTAGAAGACAAGGTCACTACCAAAGACTATCAAAGCATACGGTCCGGGAAACAGCAACCAGAGCAAAGCTCTAAAACGCACTGCTGTTGAGAAGGTGCACTAAAGCAGTAGCTGGTCAAAGTACTGCAAATGTAAAAAAATTGTGTTTATCATTAGAAGTTTATTGATGTCATAAACCTTATTGCTTTCTAATTATCCGGTAGTTGAATTTGGTGTCTGTCGTAACAAGCACCGCTACTCTAAGCCTTACACGATGCTCAAATGCATTACTGAGAAAACAGAGCTCTCTACGATTTATACAGCTGCAGTGAAATGATAGTAGCGCGTTAGCAAGCCAGTGAAGTATAAAAACCATAACTTGTTCAGAATGTCCATTGAAAATTAGAGCTATTGACATCCTTGTAACGAATGGCTGATACTAACAAAATACTGGCAATCGGGCCAATTGCGGCTGGCGCTGGTTCCTCGAAAGTGGTGAAATATGGAGGGCAGTTTGGCTTTTGATGCGGCCAATTAGTCCCAACTTATTTCGAGACATGGTATCTCAATGACACCAAATCGATAATTCGATACCTCATAAGTTTTCTTTCCTTGGGCATTACTCACACTCTTACGCAAATCTTTGCTATGTGTTTTCGCTATAAGATTACTTTCAGTCAGTGTTTTCAGAAAGACCAGCGGGTTGACATTCAAACCATGTTGTTTTCTCCAAAGGTGTCGAAAAAAAAAATGCCGGATTATATGGCAAGTCTTTTCAGTAGATTTCCGATAGAGGCAGTAAATTGATAAAAATGGATCGGCGTTCACCTACGTCTCTCAGTCTGATGTCTAGAAATTGAGTGTTTTCAGATTTTTGCCTCTAACAGCAGTGAAGAAACTCTCCCACCTCCCTCCCCACCAAATGAAATACAAAAGACAAAATGCGTATAGAACGCAATATTAATGATGTGGAGTCCTGAAAACTAAAAATTTACTACTTCCATCACTCCAAGTATTTTAGCAAAATTACTTGGCACTAGTTTCTTCCTTGGTACTCTTTTTTATTTTTAAAGCGGTCAGCAAACTGCAGATGTAGGAATTTCTTACAAAGCTGAGAAACCAATAAATTCTTCCGGTCTCTGAGACATTTATAAGTTTTTTTTTGAGTCCTCAGTAGAAGCATAGCCTAACCGACAGAAACACGCGCTGCTTTAGGAAAACGAATAGATGGTATTTTCAGATACTTGCTATGTATGAGAGTGTATTTGGTGGATGTCGGCATGAAATTTAGCCAGATGCATGACTTGTGCATGGCATGAGTTTCTTCAATAACAACCATTTTTTACTTCTCCAGAATGTTTTGTTTTTTCTTTCGCAAAATTTATAGGTAAAAGCCGGAACTCACTAATAAAATAATAGCTGTGTCCTGGTTTAAATTCCAATGCACCGGGAAGCGGCGAAAAATCTCGAAAGACAATACTAATCGAGGACTGTTGCTCCGGAGTTTGGCATACCCCAATTAATCGCTCATCGATCAGCTCACAGTTATTGTAACCGTCCTGGGACACCTGAAAAAATGGTGAATAATTTTAGTTTGTATTTAGCAACTGGACTTTAAACCTAGAATTTACAAACGCAGAAAGCGTATATTCTTAAAACACATTTATCAGTAGAAACGAAACAACTTCCACTGCAGCGAATAAAAATTTCCATCATTTTTTTCTGCATGTTATCTACCTTACTGAAAGCAGTGATATGAAGGGAAGGAAACGGCCATCAGTTAAAGGTCAGGCGTTAGCCTTAGCAGGAGGGAGATAGAGTAAACAAATGCCGAGAATATTTCGTGACCTCACATGTGCGAATGTTTTATAGCTGAATATGTCTTATGTTTGTAAATTTTTGAGGTGTGCTTAGTACAAAATTTGCTTTTTACCAGCGCTCCACTTGCCTTTGCATCTTTTACCTCCGTTCCTTTGGTCTCCCCTCCTTTACCTGAATCCCGTTCGCCTCTTTCTCATCCCTGCGCACTTTCCGCGCTCTGCTGTATGTCTTAGGCTTCATCAAAAGTATGCAGGGGAGAAACCGAAGCATTAAAAATGTATAACCGCTGTAA